CGTTTTTTTTTTCAATTTATCGCAGATTTATTTATAAATTAGATATAAATAATTATATTTGCATTGATTATAGTATATATATAGTGCAATGAAGCTAATAAAAAACCATGCATGGACTCACTCGGAAAATCTCGAGAGAGTATTTGTTTGTTTTGTCTTAAAAAAAGAAAAAAGAAAAAATGTCTAAAATATATGGAAAGATTCTGGAAAAAGTCCGAAACATCAGCAGCAGTTACTATCGCTCTTTTAAAAAAAGGAAAATGAAAGAGCGATAGTAACTGCTGCTGATGTTCGGACTTAAAGTTTCACTAATATCGTTTTCAATTTTTTCTTCTTTTATTCCAGGTTTACATTTATGTTTTAACCGCGGCGACCAACAATACTTGACAAACATTTGAAACATTTTCTCACCACACGCTTTTTTTCTTTTTTAATGGGTTTATTTTTAGCACTTTTTATAAAATTATACCCACTTATTTCCAATTAGAAAAATCAGGCAAATTTAACGTGTTTCTATAAATTTCTTGTTTAGCTGCTTTATATATATAATAAAATTTCCCAACCTTTGCATAAAACTTTTGCTAATCGTTCATCTTCTACATCATATACTACTATGCTTTGAACTTTTTCCAGAATCTTTCCACATATTTTAAATATTTTTTCTTTTTTTTTAAGACAAAACAAACAAATTCTCTCGCGATTATCCGATTGAGTCCATGTGTGGTTTTTTATTAGCTTCATTGCACTATATACTATAATCAATGCAAATATTATTATTTATATCTAATTTATAAATAAATCTGCGACAAATTAAAAAAAAAACGGTAAAATAACGCAACGGTATTTTCAATCACGATTTCGACATGTGACATGTGACAAGTGACATATGTCAATAGTTCACTAGTCTAATGAATTGCACATTAAAATTTGTATGTAACAAATACATTAAAAGCTGTTAGTCATTATTTGGAGTTCACTAATTAAAAATCTCAAAAAATTGATTAAAAATCATTAATGTTTTTATAAAAATTGATTTTTCTAAAAAAGTGCAAAGCGAGTTGAGTTTATCCTGAAAAAAAATTGTCTTGTAAGTGATTTTTTATTATAATATGAAAAAAAATCGGATACGTCTGAACCTTTCAATTAAAAGTTATTCAGGGACACCGTGGGTAATATGTTTAACACGTGATTTCAAGCAGTCAATCAAAAACATTTCCCACTGACAATATTAACGCATTAACAAGTTCAACTGACTTCAGCGTCTGCAACTTATGTTTCTGCTTACTTTATTCTAATTCGTAACGTGTGCGAAGTGCGAAGTATTCGAAAAAAGATGCCATCACTGGTTTTCAAACTGAAATTAGGGGATACAGTGAAATGGGTTAAAGTTAGGAAATTGATTAAAAAAGCAACATTTCTTATAAGAATTCTTGTCATTTAAGTTCCCAATATCCAACAAATACTCTTTGAAAATTACAAGAATTATGGTAGAATTATTGTTAAAAATGCTCATTAAATAAAGCGTTTTTCCGGTGCTAATTATAAAGAAAAAATCAAAGCCTAGTGCTACATAAAACTTTTTATAGTTCTCCTCGCATAATGTAATTCCGACTTTAACGATCGTAGCGGGCTACTACGTCTCCAAGGAGATTTAGACAAACGCCGGTTGTTATTCCTAACCTAACTAAACAAACTCTTTCAGCCAAATTCCACCTACTTTATTGAATGAAGGGGCCGATGCTGTTTATCGTTATCCTTTCTGGTCGCACTGCACGATGGTTTTCGATGATTTTCACTCACTTTTCCGACCGTTCGAGGTCCATTTTCACGGGAAAACGTCACACGCCGCACGGTAAACAAAGCAAATGGCCGAATCGCGACGTTTTGGGATCGATACGCGAAGTATCTTACAATCGCTCAGACGGGCTCTCCCTTTTTCGCCCGGCGGGTGGAAAATCCCGCGATGCGACGGTTCGTTTGGGCGATTGGAAGGGACACATGCGTATAGACCCGTCAAGAGCAGGTTCATGTTGGTTTTGCAGCGAATTTTACGATTTTCCTTCTTACTGCGATCCTGCCTGCTTCTAGGGCTGTTAACCTTTTCCATTTCCTTATTACTTTTCCTTTTACTGTACTGTAACTTTTATACCTATCTACATGCCCATACCCTAGTGGATCTTTTCTGTATGACTTCATAAAAAACACATTTACATGCAAAAATGTGTCAATACTGAATACAGGGTGTCACCAAATAAGATGTCATAAATAAATAAAAAAAAAATTCTTCTAATTGTAATGTTAAAAAGTTAATTTTTGGTGTACCTGTTAACTAAGGAGCACCCTATCGCCATTAATAGCATTTGAAAATTTTATACAGGGTGTCTGGTATTTACGTTGACTTTTTTGTCACTTTAAATACCTACCATAAAATTTTCACATTATTCTACACAAAATAATGTTTTCTATTGAAATGCTGCAGCATTCCCTATACCTAAAATAAATATTTACAGAGATATTACAAAAAATGTAAATAAAAGTTTATTTTTTATTTGTAATATCAGTAGTGTGCATTGGATTGTCTTTTATTTAGTGTAACTTTCTTGTAACGTCTTTGTATTTTGTTAATGAGAAACAGTGAATTCTACTGGCGCGTATACCGGGTGTCTCTGAGAATAGGCGCACCCCTGTAACTTTTTTATTCATAAAGATAGATACATGAAATTTAGCATGGTTAATTAGGATATAAAATGCCACTTATAAGAGTACAAAATGAATTTTTGAACTTCCGGTTTCGCCGGAAATGATACCAAATTTTGATTTTTAAATGGAACGCCATATATATTTTTACATATTTAGAATCCTGGGTAAATTCTGAGTCTAACAGCATCCTCAAATTGACCTTTCGACGTTTCGTCATCAGAAAATGCATCATCATAAAGATCAATCTAGAGTGCTTTGAACTATTTGAGATAAAAGAATTTTGACAAGTTTAGACTGCTGGGAATAGCTGAATAACAACTTTCTAAGGCAAGTTCTATTTTTCAGGCATTGTGTGATCCATTAGAAGAAAATAAGATAGTTCAAAGCACTCTAGATTGATCTTTATGATGATACATTTTCTGATGACGAAAGGTCAAAAGGTCCATTTGAGGATACTGTCTGACTCAGAATTTCCTCAGGATTCCAAATATGTAAAAATATATAGAGCATTCCATTTAAAAATCGAAAGTTGGTATCATTTCCGGCGAAACCGGAAGTTCAAAAAATTCATTTTGTACCCCTTTAAGTGGCATTTTATATCCTAATTAACCATGCAAAATTTCATGTGTCCATCTTTATAAATAAAAAAGTTACAGGGGTGCGCCTATTCTCAGAAACACCCGGTATATTAGACTGGGCCAAAAAAATCGAATATTTTTTTTTGTAAAGTATATCGAAAATATTGTTTGGGGTGACAAAAAAAATTATGGTGAAAGTTTGAGTCCAGAACTCCCAAACCATTGAGTTTAACAAATTTGACTCAAGAATATTTCCCGTCAGATGAACCGTTTTCTTACAATCATTCCTTAAAAATTTATATAGTTTTACAATTTGATCTTTTAACTTTGGAATTTTGTAATTCATGTAAAAATCAGTACCCGGAAAAAACCGATACATATTCTTATGGGAAATCAAATTCTCTACAATTTTTTTTTTATCATTTTTGGCTAAATTTACTCAAAAGTTATTCAAGGTTAAATTTGAAGTCAAAACGAAATTTTAACCTTGAATAACTTTTGATTGAGTGAATTTAGCCAATAATGTTGAGAGGCTTTTTTTGTAAAGCATTTGATTTCCCATAAGAATATTTATCGGTTTTTTATGGATACTGAATTACAAAATTCCAATTTAAAAGATCAAAATGTAAAACTATACCAATATTTAAGGCATGATTTTAAGGAAATGGTTCATCTGACGGAAAATTTCACTTTAACCTTTTTTGTAGAGAATTTAATTTTCTTAAAAAAATATTTTGAAGAAAAATCGAACAAAATTGATTTTTTTCATTACAGCGCCATCTATTACAAATATGAAAAAATGTTTTAGACAAAATCTACCTATTTTTAGTCGAATGATCCGAATCTGCAATAAAAATAGGGTGTTCCATTGGAAATTTTAAAGTTACCCCCTGTTCCCCCTATAAGGAGGAGAGGATGAGGACCAATTTTAATACTGATTGATCTCTCCACAATATACTATATGTTACATCTCCCTTTTTTACAATATTTTAACATAATTATCTTAACTAACTTAATTTTTCTATCTAATCTATTACCTAAACCTATTTAAGAAGTAATATCAATGTCTCTGACAATTGTGTTACTTTACCATGTTGTGTTGGGTTGTGTCTGAACTCGTCTGAATACGTCATACAGAAACGTTAAGGATGCATAAATTAAAAATAAATTATAATAAATAAATTAAAATGAAAACGCCTTAAGTATTCAATCGCGAATATTAGAAATTTAGTACATATTGTAAAATTAATGTCTCTATAGATAAACAAATATTATTCTGCGATGCGTTGACCTTTTTAAAATGGCAGATAGCCCTACTAAAGCATTATACAATAAAAAAATAAACTAAAAAAAACAAAACAAAGAAAATATCAAAGCAACCTTAACCCAAATAGCGAAACTCAAAAACATAAATTTGTTTTTTATAACCTTAAAATAATTTATATATCTGGAATGGACGCCTAATATCTGTCCTTTTTCGGTTTCGTTTCTGCCATCCACCACATCTTCCATTTATGCTTAGTATGATTGATTGATTTTTTACTTTTTATTGTGTAAAATATAGCACACAAAAGAAACTTATTAAATAGAAACCATTTTTTTCATATTACCCTCTTTACACTCTAGAAACTTTTATTGCTATTAAATCAGTACTTAATTTTCCCAACATGCGATCTTGCGACCGCGTAAAAAACAACAGTTTAATTTTGTTTATGGTTGTTAGACAAATTCATTAATTATATGAGCCGTAAACTTATTTAAGGCCTCATAAAATCGTATGTGGTTAACTTAATCAGGATAAAAACTAATTGCCTATTCCCATAACGTTTATTATTCCGAATAATGAATAAATACACTTGTTATTGAATTTCTTTCGAGTTTATTATAAACTCGGTGCAAGCGACGGGTTTTTCATCTTTATAAACGCTGACTTGAATGTTCAGATGGCCATAAAAAACAAAAGGCAAGCCTATTCCTTCTGGGGATACACCAAAATTATTAATTTCATATTCTCCCTAAAAAAATGTGGAAATACGTTAATATGATATTCGATATTTTTTGGTGAATTTTGGAGAACAGTGTTTTAAATATACAGTGTGTCTTCCCATTGACTTTGAGATAAATTTGAATAATAGTTATTTATGTATCAAGGCAGTAAAGTCGTATTTTTTATCACGAATGTGGAAATTATTTAATTATTAAATAACCACGTGAGTGATAAAAAATTACTTTAATGCCAAGGTGCATATTAAATTTTATCCGAAATCACATTTAATAATACTAATAATTAATATTAATGATTTCCCTTATTATAATATGAACCAATCAAAAGCCTTGAATTTTCGAATAAATTTCGTTTAAATAAGCGATTAAATCACTAGAACTATTTAACAGCGATTAAATTTTAGCCTCCATATTGGATTTTTGTTTACGATTTTATGGTGTTATTTACAAGTTTTAACAAACATTTTTTAAAAAACAATAAAAAATAAGTTATCTAGTTTACGAAATATCAATTATTACTTATTACATACCTTAAATTAATGGAATTTTCTTTAAAAAAATATTTATAAATTTTGACACATACGTCAGATTTTATGAATTGTCAAATAGTTTCCTTTAAATCGAGAAATAATCGTGATATATTATATGATTAAATAAAATGTCATTTGATGATCAAATCAAATGTTATTTGAATGTAGGAAGTGTCTACCTATACTGTTTGTTGCGACGGTTATTATCAAAGACCGGATTTTAGGCCCTTAAAAGTTGTAAATTAGGACATATAAATAGGCAATAAAAACCTACATTTTAGAGGCCGTTTTAGGCTGAAAGTGCCTAAAATAGGCCTCAACATAACATTTATTCAGGTCCTATCAATAAAAATAAAACAAAAAATACATAATACATAATACATATTATGTATCTCTTAATAAATAATACATTTATAATACATAATAAAAATAATAACACAAACTCTTGCAAACAATTGCCCGTATAAATATATATGAATAAAGAAAATTTAAAGCAAATCTTTTGCCAATATACAGCCAGTTCAAAATAAAACCTAATATATCTATATATATATATATATATATATATATATATATATATATGGGGCGTGGCCCCGCCTCCCTCCAAGGCTCGTCACAGTAGCTTGTGTGATAAACGACAAGACGAAAGGTCGAGCAGGTAAGACGACGAAAAATTAAATGATAATAATGCAAAAAATCTCATTAGCGATGCAGGTTATTTGCTTAGCTACTGTGTCGCGTGTTGGAGGGAGGCGAGGCCACGCCCCATATATATATAGATATATTCGGTTTTTCTCTAAACGGGCTGTATATTAGGGTGGCCCAAAAAAAATAAGAATATTATTTTTCTCTTGTCTCTTGTGAAAATATGTTGGTTTGTCATGTTTTAAGAAAAAAAATGTTAATTTAAAAAAATATTTTAATAAACGCATTATTACCGAAGAATAAACCTACAATTTATTATAAAAATCACTAAATTCAGTTTGACGGTTATATATGTATATACTCAAAACTTAAATTTAAAAGAATTTTTTAATAAAGGCATCATAACCAAAGAATAAACCTCAATTTTAAAACAAAAATTACCAAATTCGGTTTGACGGTTCGCGAGAAAATCAACTTTGAAAATGTGACAAACTTTTAGTGGTGCGTTACCAGTAAACACATACACGTTTTTTAAACGTATTTAAAACGTGTGAAAGGTCAATAAAACGTTTTACGTGGAAAAAGCAACGGTTTGATATTGGTATAAATTTACACCAATTAATTGAAACGTTAAAACAACGTTAATTTAAATATGCTTTTTAATAGTGCCTAACTTTTACGTTACAATAACGTTGTATTAAGGTGTTCAGTCAACCATATATTTAAAGGTTTAATTTAAACGTTAAAACAACGTTAATTTAAATATGCTTTTTAATAGTGGCTAACTTTTACGTTACAATAACGTTGTATTGAGGTGTTCAGTCAACCATATATTTAAATGTTTAATTTAAACGTTAAAACAACGTTAATTTAAATATGCTTTTAATAGTGACTAACTTTTACGTTACAATAACGTTGTATTAAGATGTTCAGTCAACCATATATTTAAATGTTTAATTTAAACGTTAAAACAACGTTAATTTAAATGTGCTTTTTAATAGTGGCTAACTTTTACGTTACAATAATGTATTAAGGTTTTCAGTCAACTATACATTTAAATGTTTAAATTACGTTTCAACCCACAATTTTTTTTCACAAATATTAATAAGAAAATAACGTTTGAAGTAATTATTTTATGAACTGTGCAGGCAGCTCTTTCTTTTAACATTTATTCTATGTTATATTCAACACGCTCCATCAAACACTTTTAAAATTACTTTTTATATATTTATTTTGTGAAATTCTTGCTTAGTTTACACATGTAGACAATATGACTTCTTATTTAAATTCTGAAGGTATAAAATCTAAGAATTTTGTTGGTTAAAAAAATGAATTATGAATGAATGTTAAATGAATAATTTAACTTTTTCACTTTTACAAAAGTATATTTTTATAACGTTAATAAAACGGTTTTTGTCAAATACAAATATACCTACTTTCATCCACATCGTTTTTCTCTAAAATGGGATAACTTGTTTAAAAATAATTTATAACGTTTAATATTTAATAAACTGATGCAACATGTATACATACATAAACAATATACATAGGTATACATATATAAAAACAACATTAAATGAAATTTAGAAATTTTCTAATTACATTCTAAAGAATAGCATAAGTAATTCTATAGTAAATGGTCATACAGTAAGCTTTAGGCAGAACATTATTTTATTAACATTCTTTAAACTAGACAGTTACTGTAATAGTTAAAAACACCGTACTTAATACGTTTAAACAAACGAACTTAATACGTTGAAACAAACGTATTTAATACGTTTAAACAAACGTACTTAATACGTTTAAATAAACGTATTTAATACGTTTATACATAACCATATAAAACGCATAACTGAAGAACGCAATCTGATTGGCCAAATACACATCATGTGATTGGCGCTGCCAATGGCAGGCTGCCATGCCATAGCTGCTCGCTACGTCAGTTTTTAATTTGATTTTGCTATCAAAAGGTGCATTTTTTTACGTGTTTTCTGCTCGTAAGATTCGTCCTGCTTTTGGTAAGTACTTTAATGTAATTGTTTTAAAACATACACACTGTTAATATCACGCAGATTCATTGCTTTATTTCCTAATTTTCGGGGGAGTGTGATTTTGTTCCTATTATAATTTGTGCAGCGTCCTAGAATAATATGAGAGTTAATATGTTAATTTTAAAGACGTTTTCTACGTGTTTTCAATGTTTATTAAGTATAGTGACTCACTATTAGTGAGGTAGGTAAATATTAACTCACACAAATTAACATTAAGTTAACATTAAACTGATTTAGATTAAACTCAATAGTCATAAATGTACAGATGTTAAAATTGTGGAGAGAGTCCATTATTTCCAAATTTAGGGGCGGTCGTGTATTTTTACCGTAAATTGGAATTAGGCGTAATTTTACTAGAGAATTCTCTAGTAAAATCACACTTAAGTCGGCTCGATAAGATACATTTGCTATGGTTATAGATCTATTCAACAAGACCTGGTGTACGTATTGTAAATTAGTATTTTGAGAACACTCTTATTATCCCGGATGCGCTAAAAATACCGTTTTTTTAATCAAATTTCAGCCCAACGATATTCTACAATACAAATTTTTGAATTTAATCTGTTGAACAACAAAGCCAGCTGAAAACATGCTTTGTAAGCCATTTTTTTAATCTTATAGGGTTTTTCGAAAAATTAGTCTATTTTTCATAGTTTAACAAATTTCTTTTTTGTGTTTTAGAAGCAGCTAAATTTTCCAGCGAACGATAAAAATGATTCACCTGAAGACGACTGGAGATACCGCCAAAACCTTTCCTTCATTTAAAAAACTCATTGTCTACAACCTGTATTTATGTTGCAGTTAACGTTAAACGAACGTTTAATAAATACGTTGTAAAAACAAGTAATTGTGGAGTTTTATTTATTATAGAACTAACGCTAGAAAGGACATTAATATGAATTTAAATATAACGTATAGATAAACGTTATAAAAGAGGCAAAAACAATCATTAATTTACGTTATTAATAGACGTATATTAAACGTTCTAAATGTAACATTTCGAAACGTGTAATGATCGTTTTCTTAACGCCAAAATTAAACGTTTATTTATTAGTATTGTTAAACGTTATAATCTGCGACATTTTAAAGTTGATTGTACGTTATAAATATACGTAAAAACAAAATGGTGTTACGGTTTAAAAAAACGTTTAATTAACGTATGTGTGTTTACTGGGTTAAATTTGACGCGAAGTGTAGTTAATTAAAATATTATTTTTTTTCTCATATTTAACGATGGGGGCGAGTGTTTTTGTGAATGAATTATTGCTTGTAGACCTATTAACAATGTTTTTACAGATTTTGAAACAAAAAAAAAATTAATGAATTATTTGTTAACTAAGCTATATTTGCTAATTAATATATATTTTTTAAATATTATGAACAATTTTTTAAAATCGGGACAACATTATCTATTAGAATAATCATTAAGAGTCCACCAAAAAAAAATTCAACCATTTTCATTCAAATTTGTATGAAATATGCCTACTTGTTTATAGCAATGCATTTGAGATGCGTGATTTTCTAAATTAAACAATTGCGTTGAGCGACCTCTAAATTTTAATTGATTTCTCTCAAATTTTTACAGATTTTTATTTTCTTGATACTCTTTGAAAACCCGAGTGGTCTCGCATAGAATTAAAAAAAATTTTTTTTTTGCATCACCCTAATATGCATACCTATATGGAAATTACAGTAAAACCTATAAAAACAAATTAAATAATAATTTTCAACTATTATTTTACAAACTTAATATTATCCATAATTATTTATAATAAATATTTAGATAGCAAAAACACAATTACTTTTTTTATTAGGTTTTCACTAGGGCCTATTTTAGGCTAATTAAAATGTCCTTTTAGGACAATAAATCAAAATTTCGTCATTTTAGGCTTTTAGGCAAAAACAAAGGGGTGTCAAACGCTTTATTTTTTTATGTTTAGGATTAATTTCAAGGTCCCAAACAAATTAATAAAATTAACTTAATATTTTTATTAAACAACATTTTATGAAAGGGTCCAATCGACCTCCGCGACGGTCTTTTTTTTAAATATTATTTAGTTGCTGCTGAGGAGCAGTAGACACATCTTAAAATGTATAATGGGTTGCATACAATACTCGTATTCTTTTACTTTACTGCCGATTGTTGGTTACTTTACTGCCGATTTCGGATAAAATAAAATTTTAATAAATTAAATTATAATATGTGATGTTTCTTGTATTTTTATTTATTTATGTGTATATTTTATATTTATTTATTTATACCTACTGCTTTTTATATTATTATTGTAGACACGCCTCCTTGTAAACAAACATTTGAAGGTTTAATAAACTTATTATTATTATTATTATTACGAAGTAAATTTGACATTAAGTAATAAACTGTTTTTGTTAATAATTTGTTACTTACTGGTTGTATGGGACATTCCTTGTTTATTCCCACTATGGAACTTAATTTGTCCCACAAATTCGGTATAAAAATAAAAACATCTTCACACAAAACTCCTTTGAATTCGAATTTTACACCATCGTCACCTATAATAACAGCTTTATACTAAAAAAACAATAATTAAAATCCACTAATTTTAAAATTTACAAATCGTTACCGTAAAACTTTCATCGAAAACGGTTTTCAATGATATTTTCGCGTTCAAAACATTCGCACCATTGACGTACTCGATGTTGGAATCAATCAAGTCACCGGCTTCCGGATTATCCACATCGCATTTTTTAATTTCCAACAATTCCAACTCCCCTACATCCCCATACTGAAATTATAATGTTAATTAAAAAATCACGTTTATTTATGTACGTCACACCCTGTATAATATTCAAAATACAACACTTCAGAGTAGACAGATAAAACTATTGGCAACATCAAATTAAAAAAATGAAACATTTATTAGTTTATTTGATCTAAAGCGTTGTACCTGAATGAATATACACCCTGTATATTAAAGTACATTTTGTGCCCATGCTGGATAGCAAAACAAGAAAATTAATAGAAAAGATTTCATGTTTGCAATTTTATGAATGTAGGTACTTTATTTCTGCGGATTTAATTTATATACAGGATTTATGAATTAGCGTGAAAATTAATTTTTTAAACTATTCACATCATTAAAAGCAGCCTTCATTTTTTATTAAAATTATTATTTTCATGTTCGCAGTTTTTTAAGACTTTTCAGTAATTATTTGTTAGACCGGATAAATGCTTTTTTCGTTATTAAAACATGTGTAATTAATTGCAGGATATAGAAAAAACAACATGTATACAAAAATGTATTTTTTATTGTTTGGTAAAGTTTTTTACAAATTAAAATAAAAAAAAATGTGCATTCGATGCCACTTTTTTTTTCTAATGTTTTTTGACCTGTTAAACTTGAAAATCACAAAAAAAATTATGGCATGGTTTTTGAGATAAAAATTTTTCTTTAATAGGTATGTTGATTCTTTAAGAAATGAGAATGCAACAATATTTTCTTTGCCAAGGATGAATAAATATCATTAAAGTATGTCATATTGTAGAAATCAATCTATTGATAATTAAAGGGGTAGACATTTCCATTTTTTTCATATGTATAATGGAACCTTTTTACAGTTAAATAAATTTCGAATAGGAAAGGGGTATCGAGTAATACATTATTTTTTAGATCTTTATTCCTATGCAACGGTGTTTTATTTTTTTAAATAGGTCTGTTTATTTTTGAGATATGTACAAATTATTAAGGGGAAAGTTCCAGGGCACAGGGGGTAAGGGTGGAAAACAAAATTTTGCCATGAAAAGTTGTCCCTCTCAATATAATAGTTATAGTTTTTTCAAAATTCTCTCAGATCCGGGAAATTTAGGGTGTTTCGATTTAAATGGAACATATTGAAAATTAAAAATGATTTAGCTTAATCATCTGGGTTATTTTGGCACTTAAAATCTTGTTTTCCTTTACTAATTTTACCAAATTTTACCAAAAGTAAGAAAGTAGCGATATCACAACGTAAAATTTAATGTTTTAAATTAAATAAACTTCTGTAATTATACAAGAAACAACTCTATCGTTAAAATTTATTAAATTTATTTAATTGCATTAAACTATAATATACCTACGCTACGAAACAAAAAATTGAATTTTGCTACCTATAGGTACCAAAAGAGTACATTTAAGGCTTTTTTGTAGGCAATACACTCAGTCTTTTTAGGAACAAGAAGATAAGATGGTGAAAGAATGTTCCTTAAATAATTCTGAACAAGCGACAAGCAACAAACTTCCATTATTTTCAGAGGGGTCTAAGCAAAGACCACTTTTTCAAAATAATATTTTGGAGAAAATTTTAGAAAACCAAACCTAAACCGATATTTACGTTCGTGACATGTTTTCTTCATAATTTTGACCTCCTGATTGTGATTCAGTTGTCAAATTTAAGTTTATGATAAAACCAAAATCGCCAAGAATCAAGATTCGAAAACAATTCCCGGCTGTTAAATGTTTCAATAAAATACGATTGCTGGTTTTTACTATTTTGTTACTTTGTTTTGCATCTTTAGTACGTTATTATTATGTCGCTGAATGATCAAATCGGGGATCAAATAAAAATTAGTTCTTGAAAAACATTTTAAACGCATTATAAGGGTTATTCTTGATTTTTCAGTTTTTCCAAATTTCGAAGTTTTTTTGCATAAGTTATACCTACCTACCTACATACCTACCCCTATCTTACCAGGTTACTTATATGTATACATTCTTCCTTTAAATGATTAAAATACCAATGCCAGACTTTGTTGCAGCTACGGGAATTAACATCTCCAAATCAACGGTTCGCATAAGATTGCACGAAACAGGAGGCAAGGGTGGCTTTTGGAGGTGGTGGAGTGACTGTTTGGGGTGGAATGGCGATGCATGGAAAGAGTGAATGCTGAGAGATATAGAGATTTGGTTGTTAATGATATCGTGGTCCCTTATGCTCAAAATGTTGCCAATAATTGGTGTTAGTGGACGACATTGCCCGTCCGCACCGCGCCAATATCGTAAATGAGTATTTAAGGGACCACCATATTGAGAGAATGAATTGGCCACCTTTGTCTCCGGATATAAATCCTATTAAGCATGTGTGGAGCAGGATGAAACTGAAGATGAAAGAGAGGGAAGGACGCATGGAAAATTTGGATGAATTGGTAAATGCTTTTCAGGAAGAATGAGATACCCCAGGAATTTATAAGGAACTTGGTCGAGGCCCAGGAGGGTTAACGAAATATTGAAAGTTATTATTGTTATTGTTTGTTACATTTTTTTGTTTAATGTTGTAGTTTTGATTATGATTATATCTTCGCATAAAATTTAACAAAATGAACACAAATATTTTTATTTAACTTTATTACCAATTAGGTAGGTACTTATCAGTGATAAATTATCTACTAGTGCGCAATGTAAATGTGTAAACCACTCAAACAAATTGCAGTAATTTTGCCCAAAAAGTGAATCCCCAAATGGCATTTTAATCATAAATATGCAAGAAACACGCCAGCAATCGGATTTTATTAAGACATTTAACAGCCGGGAATTGTTTTCGAATTTTGATTCTGGGTGATTTTGGTTTTATCTGAAACCTTAATTTGACAACTGAATCACAATCAGGAGGTCAAAATTATAAAGAACACATGTCACGAACGTAAATATCGGTTCAGGTTTAGTTTTCTCAAATTTTCACCATAATGCCATTTTGAAAAAGTGGTATTTGCTTAGGCACCTCTAAAAATAATGGAAGTTTGTTGCTTGTCGCTTGTTCAAAATTATTCAAGGAACAATCTTTCACCATCTTATCTTCTTGTTCTTAAAAAGACTGAGTGTATTGCCTACTAAAAACACTTAAATGTACTCTTTTGGAAAAAATATCATATTTTTGTTGCTAAGATTCCAATTCGAAAAATTTGAAAACCTTTTCAAGTTAAGACATAATACATCATTATTTCAAAGTAAAAACGAGAAAAAATATTTCTTTTTTCAAACGGGGCTTGGATGAAGTTATTGAAATTTTTCACTGTTTTACATATCACCCTGTACGAAATTTACTTGAAGAACCGTGAGCTTCATATCTTCAGCATGAATTGCCAGAGGATGGGGCTAGCAGACATCACAGACCAAAATAAAATCGTTTAGAAACAAAAAAGTTATGTCGTTTTGAAAAAAGACGAACTTTTTGGTGCGCAGTTTAGATGCATTTAAAACTGCATTGCTCTTGATTTTAAGTATAATTAAGTTAAATACCATTTTAACTTCAAAAATTGTAGATCTTAAATTCACATATATGCCCGGTTGTGTATATTGTGGCCCTGGCACAACTTTTAACCCCTTAATTTTAACTAAAGATTTGATGGAAATCATATTTTAGCTTTTACTTAGTAACAAAAATCTCTTTTTGTTTATGCTTAGTATATGTTTACGAAAAAAATAATGCTGTTAAACTAAACTCTTTATTATTACAATTTTTTAAAAGAACATTATAGACTACTTTCAACTTGGTAAATTTCGCAAAGAACTATCTCATCACTATTGGGTTTAAATACTTTGAAAGTTAGTTTAAACTTCCCGTACCACATGGTCGGTATATTTATATCAGCGGATGAAGCCTGGAATTTCTTAAGCTCGTAAATACCCTAAAAATATTGTCAATAATTTTAATTAATTAAGTTAAGGGTCAATCCCATATTTAAGTATACTTTTTTTGCAAAACACTTATCATCTCCGGTAAATGGTGGTTTAAGGACTGCCTGCAGTTTGGTCCAAATTTTGGGGACATAATTTTTAATGTATTCACACAAATTACCATCAATATTGTATATATCTTCACGCCAAGTGTTCCTGTCCCACTTGGCAACGTCCAACGAGAACTGAAATCATTATGTTTTATTAAAAAAATATAGTACTTTGGTAATTTAATTTAGCACACTTACTTTGGCATTTTTTGCATCAAAATCCTCATCTAGCTCCAAACTAATATCGAAAGCCTTTACGCCCTTCTCGTTAATGTTGTACAAAGTTGATTTTTGTTTTTTTCCAGGCTCGCAATCACTCATACTTAGAGATTTGAGGTTTCCCACTGGTGCTGACTAAATAAGAAAAGTATCTGATATATCAATAAATAAAAGTTTCTTGGATAAGTTTACCACTAAACCTGCATTGCTCTTAGGAAAAATGTATATGAAACTGAGTATTATCAACCATTTTTGAAACATGATGAAGAATTGTTTAATTTTCCAGTGTATCCATCTATATATATATGTAACAATAATTATTTTAATTATTATAATAACAGTATTTTTTTTAATATTATATTTTTTGTAAAACATGGATATGTGATGATCAATTATTTTGTTTTTGCTTTATACAGGGTCATTTTGTGTTCCATTGAAAATCTGTTAAGTTTTTATTTTTATTGCTAGAAATATTTTTTTAATTTTTTTATATATTTGTTTTGATTATTTTTTTAAATAAATATGTTAATTAATTAATATACAGTGACCGGCAAAAGTATGGAACATAATCATTAAAAAATGTGACTTTTTCCCCAAAAATAAATAAAATGACATTCTTTACGAATTTGATTTTTTAAGTCAATTTTGTGGTCTGTTAATGTAGACCTTTGACTGATCTGGTTTTCCACCATTCCTGCCCAGACATTCACTTTTTGCCGGTATTGTAAATTTGCCTCTACTATCCAATGAGGATTTTCTCTGCTCCAGTACCTACAATTTTGACGGTTGACTGTACCATTCAAACAAAAGGTGGCTTCTTTCGAAAAAAGTATTTATTGTTACATAAATTTTTCATAGTTTTACAAAATTGTAGTCCGGATCATCTTCGTTAAGTTTCTGCACTAGTCTAATTTTGTATGGATTGTACTTTTCTTTCTTCATAAGTTATACTGTGAGGATCTACTTTTACAAGTGACAAAATTTTAGTGTATTTACTAATTAGTATTAATACTTAATATCTATGACATGTCCTATCTCTCTGAATTTCCTTTAAAGTTAACTAGCACGAGTAATAAGTCAAGATGGATACTTTGCCTTAAATAAATAGCAAACTTCCATAGTTTTGCCAGTCACTGTATAGGTAAAATGAAGAATTTTTCAACTAAATACTTTATTATATATATCTACTAATGCACAATTTAAGATTATTGAGTACTCTCCATTTGGTAAATGGTGCAAAGAATAATCTCATCTCTATCGGGTTTCAAAACTTTGAAAGTTAGTTTGAACTTTCCATAAAAAACTGATGGAATTTTGACATCTTCAGAAAAGGCTTGGAATTTCTTAATCTCATAGGTACCCTAAAATAATAAATTTTGTGATTTTTTTTACAATAAAACTTTTAATACAGGGTGTGCTCTTACTTTTTCCGCCATACACCAATCATCTCCAGTAAATGGTTTACTGATAATCGTCTGTAATTTTTTCCAAATTTCTGGAATATATTCTTTTATATATTCACACAACTTACCACCCTTATTGTAGATATCCTCTCGCCAAGTGTTACCCTCCCATTTTGCAACGTCCAAAGTAAACTTATGATTGATTAATTGTTATTTTTATAATTACAAAATATTTTACTTACTCTTGCTTTTGTTCCATCCAAATCTTCTTTCAGTTCCAAGGAAGCATCAACTGCCTTTTCCCCTTCTTCGTTTATGTTGTACAGACTGGTTTTTTGATTTGGTCCACAATCAGAAAGACTTAAAGACTTAATTTTTCCCACTGGAGCCGACTAAAACAACCTTTTTATTTAATATATAAAATTTTCCTTGAATGATACCATCATAGCTGCCTCATAATTGTCGAATATAAATATCAAAGTTGCTGTGATTAACCAAGGTTTTAACATGCTGAAAGGATTTGCCAAAAGTGGTTTGTTTTTCGAAATTTTTCAGGGTTTTATGGTGTGTTTGAAACGTATAATTAAATAAATTGTAATATTTTCAAACAGGGAAATATGTAAAAAAAATAATTTGGCATAATTTCACTGAACAAGGTTATTTTTTTAAATAATTTTTGTTGGAAGATAGTAATTCGTAGCATAATTTATAGAATAAACAGCAAGAGCATAGCGGCCTAGCAGATTAGGCAGTGGGATCAAAATTTACAGTTTCAGAGAGCTTTAATACAGTTAAAGAACAGTTTAGACCATTTGGATCAATAACTTTGTCAAACCTGATAGTGGTCACTCGGGCATCCAGAAATCAAAATTTTCCCAAGGCTCTTTTTTGTATACAGTGTGATATATATATATATATATATATATATACAGGGTGGAAATCTTAACTGGAAAAAAATCTGTATTTTGAAAACCACTTACTTTTTTAAAAAATCCAAAAACAGGTCAATTTTTAAATTTACCTGGGTAAATTGTGGTAAATCTTAAAAATATAAGAAACCACCCTTTGAGGGTGCAACCAACCCTAACTTTTTTTCAAATGCAAAGGTATATCAAGTGATACATCATTTGAAAGCTCTTTTTAATAGGAATTTATACAAATATGCAATTTTTAATTATTTTATTTTGGTACCTTAAAGAAATAAATACTTTTTTATATCCACCAAAAACGTTGTATATTCAACCGAAAGAATGTATTTTAGTTCTTTAAAATTAGTTGCAAGTAACGTGTTCTAAATTGACCGTAAAAATGTCTTATTTAACTGAAACTTTGCGTATTGAGATTTTAATGATGATTGAATTTGGTGATACACGTCGAAATCAGACAGAAGTTGCACGATTATTTAACGAAACGCATCCTGAATTGCCTCACATTTGCCAAGGGACTGTTAGTAAAGTAGAAGCAAAATATCACGAAAATGGTCATGTAAGAAATATTCCTAGACAACGCCAGCCTATCGTTGAAGACAATACGAAGCTTAATGTACTATTAGCAATCCAAGAAAATCCTGTTACTTCTGCTCGACAAATTGCTCGCGAGAACTATACACCACTGTAATGAAGTTACTACATGCTTCAAAAATGCATCCGTATAAGATGCAAGCAGTACAGGAACTAATTGGGGATGATACCGATCGCAGAATTGAATTTTGCGAGCAAATGATGAACCTTATTAATGATAACCAAATTTCCTTGGATTGGATACTATTTTCCGATGAAAGTACGTTTACTTTAAATGGTGAAGTTAATCGTCAAAATTGTAGATATTGGAACGACAGCAATCCTCATTGGATTGAAGAAAATCATACACAGTATCCACAAAAGGTAAATGTTTGGACTGGAATAATTGGTAATAGAATAATTGGTCCCGCCTTTTTAAACGAAACTCTAAATGGCGAAAGGTACTTAACTTTTCTTCAAGAAGATCTTATACCATATTTGGCAGTTTAGTTTCCAAACGAGAATGATCCATGGATCCATGGAGTCTGCAGACTTACCAGATAATAGAGTCTTGTTTCAGCAAGATGGAGCTCCACCGCACTACGCATTTTCGTTCGTCGATACCTAAATGAAATATTTCCTAATCGGTGGATTGGTAGAAGAGGTGCAGTTGAGTGGCCAGCCCGATCTCCAGACCTTACCCCGTTGGATTTTTTCCTGTGGAGTTACCTTAAAAATAAAGTTTATGTAACCAAACCAACTAATATTGCAGATCTTAAAAAGAGTATCCGACACGAAACTTCTTTAATATTACCTGAGATGTTGGAAAAGGTTAAAAATGAATTTTATAATCGTCTAGGATTTTGTCAAGAAACCAGAGGAGCTCATTTTGAACATCTTTTATAATAAATCCATATTTATCATAAAATAAAGTTTTTATTATTTATAATTGTACAAAAATAAAATAATAAAAAATTGCTTTCAAATGATGTATCCTTTGCATTTGAAAAAAAAGTTAGGGTTGGTTGCACTCTCAAAGGGTGGTTTCTTATATTTTTTAAATTTACCACAATTTACCCAGGTAAATTTATAAATTGACCTGTTTTTGGATTTTTTTTAAAAGTAAGTGGTTTTCAAAATACAGAATTTATTCCAGTTAAGGTTTCCACCCTGTATATGTATATATTAGGGTGTTTCAAAATAAGGCAATATTTTTCTTTTTTCAAATTCATGTAAAATTCTCGTCACTTATGCTAAAAAAAATTCCGTCAAAATTTTAGCTCTTAATATTATTAATTTTAAAAGGTTCATCATCGAATTTAAAATGTTCACATTGATTTAACAAGGAAAAATAGTTTTTAAGATTTATTTCGCCTGCATACTATGTACAACTTTTTTTTGATAAAAAATCACTGGTCCTTTTTTAACATTAAATGTCTACAAGAAATCTTACAGAGTCCAGTCTGTAGATTCAACTGTTTCTTTTTTATTAACGTTGAAACGTATAAATTCTAAAAAAAATTGATATTTTTAGATTTATCGGCTAAACTACTAATCGTAGAAAAAAAAGGCAATTAGCAATTTTGAAGATCTTTTAATGTTCTGCAAATTCGTTTTAAAATTTTTTTTTCATCACCTACAGTTCAAAAGTTATAAGTGTCTAAAATCCTATTTTTATGATTATGCATAAAATATTATAATATTCACTGTAGGAAAAAAGTTTAGGGACAATTTTGCAGGAAACTCGAAGCAAAGAATCTTGGTACGTTATTTATAGAGCTTCAAATTTCCTGAAAAATTGTCCCTAAACTTTTTTTCCTACAGTGAATATTATAACAATATATTGCAGAATAATGAAAATAGGATTTTAGACACTAACTTTTGAACTTTGGTGGTAAAAAAAATGGTCAGGAACAACTAGTAAAAATTTTAATGATTTTTTATTAAAAAAGGCACTAATGCAAAAATGATAGGATGATAAGAAAAAACTTTCTTATTTTGAAAATGAGTGAAGCAATATTTTACCTATTTGAGCTGAGATCTTATTTAAAGAGAACCTTCTTCGCTAAAGAAGTTTCACTTCGATGAAAAGATAGGTAATAAAATAAACAACGATTTTTTTTTGCTGTTATAATAAATCCTTTAATAATTACACACTAACATTAGGCTGAACTTTCGCCTTGGTAAATTTTGCAAAGAAGAATATCGTTAGTATCGGGTTTAAAAACCTTGAAAGTTAGTTTGAACTTTCCGTACCACATGGTCGGTATGCCAATATCAGCAGAAGAAGCCTGGAATTTTTTAAGATCATAGGTACCCTAAAAATAGACATTAAAATTACACTTCAAAAGCCCTTTATCTGAACCAATTTTATTACAAAAATAAAGAAAAGTTTATTAAAACCAATTTTTTAGAGAACAGATTACAAAAAATGGGAAATTCTCTGAGAATAAACATCACACTAAATAATAATAGGTTAATGTTAATTTAATTTTCAGTGTTTCCACCTCTAGTCTCAATGCAAGCACGAATTCGACGAGGCATGCTTTTTATTAAATTATTTATTTCTTTTTGTTAAACTTTTTCCCACCCCTCAAAAACTACTTCTACTAGTTGCTCTGCGTTGCCTTAAGTTCTCCATTGGATTAAGATCCGGTGAACAAGAAGGCTCTGTAACAGTCAAACTTTTCATTTCTTAACAGTTTTTGACAACTCTGCTTATCAGCGGTGGTGCATTATACGGCATAAATAGGGTTCCAAAAATATTAGTCCAAACTAGAGTTAGCTATTGGCCTAAGAGGTCCAAGGTATGTGGATTTAGTTGAACAACCCGCTCTAAAAAGGTGCTTTCCAGGATAATGCACCTCCATTTACCAGCGGAGTTGACGAATCTTAATCGAATTGAGAACTTGTGGAATAAGGTTAATAGAAGGATTATAGCCCGTCAAAATAACTCTAGCAATGCAAAAAAACTAAAAAAAAAGCAGTTTATAGGGGTTTTCAAGAAGAAATTTATAAAGTCGAATTAATTACTGAGTGATTTCATACACTGTTTAAAATATCTGTGGTGTGAAGAGTAATCTTAAAATGGTGTCAAAATCCAACACCAAGTGGTGTTAATATAACACCATGAATTATGGTTGAAAATGTTTTATACAGCAAACACCCAAACAGTGTTTATCTAAAAATATTTGAGAAGTGCACCTACACAGAAAAAAAGGAATAGTTCATTTAACTATATTAATTTAGTTGACCCATAAGTATTTATTTAAATCAACTGTGGGAAGGTTAATATAAACAAAGATTATTTTGACGGTACTAAACCAGACAGAGCTGGGCAGTAATTGACTTGAAAGTGCTTGAAAAAGTGCTTCAAGCACAATAGTGCTTCGAGCACAGTGCTTGCAAGCACTTTTAAAATACAGTGCTTGGTAATTGGTAATTGAAGCCCTTTATAAAAAGTGCTTGGTAATTGGTAATTGAATTTCGCATTTCAAGCCATTTGAGTGCTTGCAAGCACTTAAAAGGCTTGCAAGCACTTTAAAGGGCTTGCAAGCACTAAAGGGCTTGCAAGCACTATCAGATTTGAGGGCTTGCAAGCATTTAAAGTGCTCCCGAGCACTTTAGACTCTAGAGGGAAATGCCCTTAGTAACAACCCTGTGGTTTCATCATCATCATCTAATGCGGTGTGCGGTGCAGCATAAGCTTTAATGTGATTGGTTGGTTGAAGGCCGACTGGGCCAGTACCTTTCTCCTTCTTGCAGATAATTTGTACTTATTTTTTGATGATTTCTTCACTTTAATTCCCTGCTTAAAATACCCCATAGAGACCTATACAAAATAATCTATCGGGCGCTACCGGATTCAATATGTGCATTTGTCCATGGTTTTTTCCGGATACGGCCCGATAGAAAATTTATAGGAAATTACCTATAGGCACACCATAACTTTTATATTTTCCCTATAGAGACCGATAGAAAATAATTCAATGAAGGATATATAAGGATATCCCTATAGAACAATCATAAAACATTTGACAAAATTTTATTAAAACCTATGGGTTCCTATGGGGCAGAGCTGGGCAGTAATTGACTTGAAAGTGCTTGAAAAAGTGCTTCAAGCACAATAGTGCTTCGAGCACAGTGCTTGCAAGCACTTTTAAAATACAGTGCTTGGTAATTGGTAATTGAAGCCCTTTATAAAAAGTGCTTGGTAATTGGTAATTGAATTTCGCATTTCAAGCCATTTGAGTGCTTGCAAGCACTTAAAAGGCTTGCAAGCACTTTAAAGGGCTTGCAAGCACTAAAGGGCTTGCAAGCACTATCAGATTTGAGGGCTTGCAAGCATTTAAAGTGCTCCCAAGCACTTTAGACTCTAGAGGGAAATGCCCTTAGTAACAACTCTGTGGTTTCATCATCATCTAATGCGGTGTGCGGTGCAGCATAAGCTTTAATGTGATTGGTTGGTTGAAGGCCGACTTGGCCAGTACCTTTCTCCTTCTTGCAGATAATTTGTACTTATTTTTTGATGATTTCTTGACTTTAATTGTTTTGCGTCATGTTGTGTGGACTAATAAATTAAAAACAAAAAACTTTGGTTTGGTTTGCTTATTTTAATATAACGATCATCCAAAAATGTTTCTTATTTTTAAAATAAATATGTTAATTAATTGGGTAGGAAGCAATTGGAAAACTAAAAAGTGCTTGGTAATTGGTAATTTATTTAAGAAAAAAGTGCTTGCAAGCACTTTTTAAGTAATTGGTGCTTGGTAATTGAATTTTTCAATTACTTTTCTCGGTAATTGGTAATTGCAAGCACTTAAAGTTTTCAAAGTGCTTGATGCTTGGTGCTGGCAATTACTTTTCCAAAGGGCTTGGTGCTTGGTGCTCGAAGCACTTTTTTTGAGTGCTTTGCCCAGCTCTGCTATGGGGGAAATACTAATTTTTATATTTATGTGTATTTTCCCCATTAAAACCAATATCAAATAAATCAAGGGTGGATATCCCTATAGAACAACCATAAATCCCAACTATGGGTCCTATACATACCGATACACCCTATAGAAACACCATACATTCCGATACAAATATCTATCGGTTTTAAAAGGGTCTCTATTTTAATATAACGATCATCCAAAAATGTTTCTTATTTTTAAAATAAAAATGTTAATTAATTGGGTAGGAAGCAATTGGAAAACTAAAAAGTGCTTGGTAATTGGTAATTTATTTAAGAAAAAAGTGCTTGCAAGCACTTTTTGAGTAATTGGTGCTTGGTAATTGAATTTTTCAATTACTTTTCTCGGTAATTGGTAATTGCAAGCACTTAAAGTTTTCAAAGTGCTTGATGCTTGGTGCTGGCAATTACTTTTCCAAAGGGCTTGGTGCTTGGTGCTCGAAGCACTTTTTTTGAGTGCTTTGCCCAGCTCTGAAACCAGATAGTTATTTTATTTTTTTTAAATTGGTTAAATTAACCCAGAAAACTTTAGTGAAACCAACCCGCTGAATGGTTCAGTTTACTAAAATATGTTGTTTGGAAAATAAGAGTTACGTCAACCTAAAGCACTCTGTTAAAACGATTAAAACAATTTGCCATGCATTACTTGTTGCATAGTGTGTACCGATCGCGGCAAAGGCGATTTGGATCACGTGATGTTCTTAAATCTCGCCTCTGTTGACTTACATGAAGAGTCAGGTAGTCCTTTGCTTTGGTGTGACACTACAAGTTGTTCGATACTAAAGAGACTTTAAATAGGTGGAAACAGCTATCAATATTTGAAGTATTTTAAGTTGGTGGAACGCACTAAAAACATTTTCTCTAGCGAGTTGAAGGTTCAATTTTCTGGAATAATACCACTGGTAATATACTTGTAATGCGTCAAGGAACTTCCTGTTTCCTTTTTTTCCTTTTTTTCTGTGTAGTATGATTTAATTTGACCAAAAACACATTATATTTAACACTGAAAAGGAGTTCAATTTACACCAGGTAAAATTTATTTTAATACTGTGTGAAAGTTAAATTAACACTATTTTACTATTTGAATTTACACCGGACCAACGAACCATATTTAACACCATTTTGGTTTGTATCGATATAGACCATGTATGGTGTTAATTTGTTGTTAAAATGGTCATGAAATTTTGAACAGTGTATAATATTGGTTGTGAGTAGGTGTATTTTTTCATATTTTATAGTATTTGTCTTACCTTTTTTGCACTACATTCTGTTTCTATTGGAGGCTTAAGGTTTGCCCTTATTTTCTCCCACATTTTTGGTATGTATTTTTTGATATATTCGCACAGCTTGCCTTCAGCGTTGTATATATCTTCACGCCAAGTATTACCCTCCCATTTTGCAACGTCTAGAGTGAACTGAAATAAAGTATTTTATTTTTATTATTGTCTTTCTTTTGCTTACTTTTGTCTTGGTTCCATCAAAATCATCTGGCAATGCGATGGTGGCATCGAGTGCCTTTTCTCCTGATTCGTTTATGTTGTATAAATTTGTTATTTGTTTCGTAGTGGACTCGCAATCAGAGATACTGAGGGACTTTATGTTGCCCACAGGAGCTTTCTAAAGTTTAAAAATTGTATTCAGTGAATGATAACATTCTTCAAATATTTACCATCAATGATGTATAACCACCAGCAAATATAAACGTACAACCAATAATAGTCACCCATATAGAATGCATGATGAAAGAATCTATTAGGAATAGGTTGTTTTTTTTAAATTTTGCGTTTTTATATGCTTGACATTTTTTTCTGATTATAATTATAATAATTATTATATATATATTATTAAAAACATTGTTATAAACAAATTAGATTTTGAAACATGTTTTTACGGAAAGTATACTTATACAGTGACAGGCAAAAGTATGGGACAAAGTATTTAAATAAGGGCCATTTAAAAAAAACAGAGAATTGGAGTTTTAATTCTCATAGGATACCTATGGCAATAAAACTAAAACACAACAAGAAGTTTGCAATTTATTTAATGCAAAGCTGGAGCTCGATAAAATTGAACGGAAATTTAAAGAATCTGGACATGTTAAAGATATTACAAAACCTGACCGTCCGAGTATTAGTGAAGACACTAAAATTGACATTCTGCTACATGTGGAAGAAGATCCTCACGGTGCTTCTAGCCTAGTCGCAGCTGAAAGTCAAGTCAGCCAACGCTCAGTATTACGTATTATGAAGAAAGAAAAGTACCATCCTCACAAAATTACACTAAAAAAAGCGGTCAGCGGTACCCATGGTTATGGTAAAATAGGCGCCAACCAGTTGCTACCATTACAGAATGGTAATAAGTTATTGTTACGAATTGACATTACAGCAAAGTGATCGTTACCACTACTGCTTTAATTAAATTTTACCACTACATGTTCTTATATAATAACCGTTTTATAAAAACCTTTTACCACTACACACTGTTTAAACTTTCGACTACATATTGGTATATACTATATAGTACGCTTAGTATATTATTTCAGCTAAGGCGAACTTTAGCTAAAATCATTGTTTAATTTGTATTATTGATTGCACTTATCCCTATAATTAAGTTTTCTCAACAGCACGTTAAGATAGTAAATAAATGACAATTATATTAAAAACATTTTTTATTAAAATAAAATTATTTATATGAATTTTCACACAAAAATTATGATATAACTAAATATAATAAAAAACATGGCGGATCCTTAAATTATCGTACAAATATCCTTAAATTATCGTACGAATATTTTTAGAGAAATTGAATACATTATGCAGTAAAAACCCAACCCAACCAATACAATATAAATAACAAGTGTTTGTTAATTTAATTTTTGTTTGTAGTTTTTTTTTCTAAATTAGTGTTGCGCACACTGCCTAGTGCAATGGCGAACCTATGGCACGCGTGTCATAAGTGGCAGGTTTTAAATTTTTCTTGGCACGTTTTGAGAACAAAATTGTATACTTTCATCTTCATAACAATTACAAAAATTTACTTGTGGCACGTTACAATTTGAAATTTTTTTTATAGTTTTTTGGCACGCACACTAAAAAAGGTTCGCCATCCCTGGCCTAGTGAATGTAAGAAGTAAAAACCTTGCCGGTAACATATGCATTAGGTAGGTTTGTTCTATGGGTATTACTTTAAAAAATCGAGACCTACCTAACCCCCAAAAATCAATATTGATACCTATAGGTAAAATGCGTTTTACGATCCGTACCGGGGAGTAGTTCTACAATATTCCAGTCCTTTAATAACTGTTCCATACCTAGCCGTAAACAGACAACACTAAATGGCCGAATTTTCCGTTGCCCCTTTATTAAATGACAATTTTGTACCAAATTTCATTAATTATAACATTATTAGTATTAACCACAGTAGTGGTAAACGTAAAAAAATACTATTTGTAGTGGTAAGCTATTTATTACGAACCAGTTGTAATGGTAAAATTAACCAAGACGAAGAATTGTACAATTTTTAACTATTTTGTTATTTTGTTATTTTGCTACTTATATATATGTAGTGGAAAATTTAATTTACAGAGAACTACAAAAGTAAAATAAAAGAGAGATAATTTTTTTCAGTGTAGACTAGTGCAGGAATTTAATGAAGATGATCCGGACCGTAGACTACAAATTTGTGAAACTATGATGAATTTATGTCATAACACGTCATTTTGTCGCACGAGGACAATTTTACTTTAGATAGTTGCTATCACAGTCAAGGGTTAATGTCAAAATCGATTCGCCATGGCGGTTCTTAAAGAAGAAAAAAAGGATTTTCTTTGGTGTTAAACAAAATTTATTGCCAAAAAAGTCTCGTAAGTAGGTACTAGAAAAATCATAAAAATTTTATAACCAATATGCAAAACATTATTTTACTAGTATGCTGTTTAAAGTAGCCAACCTATAAAATCAAAATTTTGGGTGGGGTAAAGTACCTCATAACAGCACCGAAAGCAATGTTACAATGAAGTCATTATGAACGTAAAATAGATAAAATAATTTTTTTGGACGAAGCTATAGGTATACCTTCTGTTTGAATGGTACAGTCAATCGTCAAAATGGAGCAGAGAAAATCCTCATTGGATAGTAGAGGCAAATTCCCAATACCGGCAAAAAGTGAATGTCTGGGCAGGAATGGTGGAAAATCGGATCATGCTTTGACAAGAATATGACAGGACAAACGTATTTGGAATTTTTCCAAAACTCTCTTCTTCCCACATTAGCAGGAATGACAAGGACCGAGAGTGGCCAGCGAGATCTTCAGATCTCACCCCTTTCGATTATTTCTTATGGGGCTAGCTTAAATTAAAGGTCTACATTAACCTACCACAAAATTACGACTTAAAAAATCAAATTCGTGAAGAATGTCGCTTTATTAGTGCGGAAGTCATCCAAAACGTTCTCAGAGAATTTTCGGATAGGCTTGCTAACTGTCAAGAAACCAATTCGAACATTTTCAAAATCATATTTGTGAAGATAAAAATAGTGTACCATATGATTACTTGGGGAAATAAAACACAATTTATTTACTTTTCAAATGCAGTTTTTAATTATTTTTAAACAAATCCATCCACCAACATTACACCAATATTTACGTGTTTAATCTTGTCCAAACATTTCCAAAGACTGGCACAAAACTTCTTGATCTTGCGGGTTAAACATTTTTAAAGTGGCCATAAATTTACCTCTCAATTGGATTGGATTCAGAATATCGTCCATGGAACATTGAAAGTTTTCCAAAATATATTTATCCTTGAAAAACAACACATACAGGCAAATCTTAAAATATAGGAAACATTTTTCTTACAGCTTTAATAAGGTGTGCATCAGAAACAGCGGGTTTTACTTGCCCTCTCAATTTTTCCCAAAGTTTAGGTATAATTTTGTCTATATTTTCAAATAATTTTCCTTGAATTTCCTGATTGAAAGGTATCCAAGTTGTTACGGCCCAAGTGGAAATTTTAAGAGTAAACTAAAAAAATACAATAAATTGTTTTTGTTTTTTAACTGTTAATTTTACCGTAAATTCTTCATTAATATCAAATGGCAGATCTGTTGTCATAAAAAACTCATTTTCTCCTTTTTCGTTTTTTAATAATTTACATTCTATAGGAAATGCTTTTCCTTTTACCGGGCAGCTACTAATTTTGGTGGGTATCATCTTAAAAAGAAACAATATACTTTAAACTACATGATATGGAATTTCTATACATAAAACAGTAGAAATAATTTAAATATTTTATAAAAAATTTACCTTATAACCATCGGTTAAAAGGATTAAACCACTGAAAATAACAACAAAAATATAGGACAACATGTTCGATAAACAACAAAAACGAAAATGATTCCAAATTTAATTATTATTATTGCTCAAATTATTTTAATTAAAATATTTATATAACATTGTAAAACCACTAAACGGAAATGAAAAAAATGTGTCTAATTATAATTATTTTTGCAACGTTTATTTTTTTATTTTTTTTGATAGGTAGCATGTAAAAAGATTTTTTTATTTACAGATTACACCACAATTATATGTTTTACCTCAATCAAAGCCATACTTGAAAATGTGTGTAAAACTTTTTTATTTATTTTCATAATTTTTTAATAAAACTATATATTTTTTAAATAAAACCGTAAGTTTGGGATGAGAATATTTATTATTACTGTATAGTCAAGTCACGGCCGGTTTATCAATGCCCGGTTAAAGTTGCAGTTAGTTATCTGGCAGATAATCTCCATGGATACCATTGTTCTCACAACGATCGATATGAAATTTATCTGTCAGATAGACTAACTGGAACTTAATAGATTGATAAACCGGCCCTCAGTGTATTAGCAAGATATTTTTTATTAATTAGTTACATTATCAATTAATTATTATTTTGAGTGATGACAACTCTGCACAAAATTAAAATATCATCCACCATCAGCTTAATTTTGTGCTTTACTATTGGACCCACCCCTCTCACATCACTCAGTACAGCGTACTGTCCACTTATAGGAAACTCATGGATTTTATAGTCACCCTAAAAAATCACATTTTGTGATTCACATGTGATACACATGTGTATCACGCGTGATACACATGTGTATGACGCGTGAATCACATGTGATACACTCGTGATTCACGCGTGATTACAACTTACTGCCGGAATATCGCATTTTTCCGAAAATTGAGGTTCAACCTTGCTAATAAACTTTCCATACGCAATAGATTCAACTATGGAGTTGCAAAATGATCTTTTTCCTTTGAATAGAAGTTTCCATTTCCCATTCTCGCAGGCATTAGACTCGTACTCCTTAAATTACATTATTGTATTACCTTTCAGCATGGTATAATAAAAATGTGGTATACAGTGTATATGGGGCATTCCACGCCAAATCGGATGGTTTAAATTTTTTTTTATTCCTCCAATTTTTTTATATTTTTTAGTACTCCTTGAAAGAGCTTTCTCAGTAAATTTTGAGATTTTTTTGATCACGGGTTCAAAAGATATCAAACTTTCAAAAAACTGCTTTTTTTTGTTTTTCGCTCATAACTTCTTAAAAAATGGTTAAAATCAAAATGTTCATTCTATATAAAATTTTCGTTTTTAAATGTACTTTTCGAAAAAATATATATTGAAAATATTTGAAGCGTTTTAAGTCAAGATTTTTGGGTTTTAAAGTTTAATCGTGTTTTTAAAAATGTGTGTCCCCAAGCAGCATTTTTAAAATTTAAGTTTAAATAACTACAAATTTACTACCAAGTCAACTTTGAAGTATTTTTTACGGTTAACCAAAACGGTTTTATAACGGTATAGATACGAAATGGTTTATTTCGTTATTTTACCTACATATATGTTTATTACGTTATTCTCTCATCAAAAAGGTTATTATAATAACCTTTTTGATCTACTAAGAGAATAACGTAATAAAAACAATATAAATACCACAAATTCACGTAAAAATAACGATATAATTACTAACTGTTTGCTCTCTCTTTCTAAATCATTGACATTTGTAATTTCTTTGTTCTTTTAATTTATATTTTACAAAATGGTATTTACAAAGTAATAAAGGCCAACCTAGAGTAAAATTAAAAAATATAACTTAAATTACAAAACTAATAATATTTTGCATTAAAACTCAAACGCACATTATTTTATTGATAAAAATCAGCACGATACATCTTAAAAATTATATGCCCTCTAAATATTTTACGGTTTTAAGAAAAATTATTGCTTGGGTAAAAATTCAAGAAAACTTAAAACCTACAAAATTTTGTAAAATCTTTTAAAAATAATTAATAAATAATCATTTTTAATAACTAAGACTTTCCTTATTATATTTTAGAAAAATATTATAATAAATGTTTAAATAAGTAATGAATGCCAAACTCATTATGGCGACCTGAAAAAAATGTTCCCTTAAAGTTTTATTTTTTACTTTAAGCTTATTTTTCCTTGTTTAGTCAATATAAATAGTATTTATTTCCACTAATAACCCTAAAAATTACCAGGCGAGTAGGAATTATTTACGGTTATAAAGTGGTTTTAATATCGTAAAATTGTGACGTATGAGTAACATTTACCGTTAAGTAAAAATTCTGACGTTAAAATTACCGTTAAATTTTCCTTTAGGTGAAATACACTTATAAGTAATTTTCTTTCGTAAAAATTAGGTCCCTTATAATACTTTAAAGTTATTAAAAAAGGTAAAAATTACATAAATAAAATTTATTAAATAACTTTAAAAAAAGTTTTACTTCAAAGTAAATTTTTAAGGTTAATTTAACAAAATATTTACTTAAATTAAGTAATATTGCCTCAAAGCTCTACGCTTTTACTTAAAATGCTGCTTGGGTCTTTTTCGATTTTCGCGAAAAATTTTTATTTTCAACTTCTATCTATTCTTTCTTCTATCTATCTTTTGAACCCGTGATCAAAAAAATCTTAAAATTTACTGAGAAAGCTCTTTCAAGGAGTACTAAAAAATATAAAAAAATTGGAGGAAGTGTATTTATTTATGCATACGTACGATCATGGTATTTTCGTCCAAATCAAAAGGTAAGGTGAATTCAGCATTAAATAATTGATCGGGGGTTTCTTCAGATTCAAAATTAGTGGTTAAAGTACCCAATTCCTCATCAGAAATTTTGCAGTGTGTTATGTTTGCCACATCCACTGTGAATGCCTTAAATTAACAAAAAAAATTATGAAAAAATACCCCACCCTGTATTTTCCATCTTACCCCTGCAGAATATAAAAATAGTACATTTAAAATAAAAGAAGACACTAAGCCCTTCATCATGGTCATTTTAGAAATGTTTGTAGCAAAATAATAAATTATACCTTATTAGCTTAATTCTTGAATTTCCCATTTTTTATCCATAGTTAATAATTTCACACCGTAAGTGGTAATGATTGGCTTTGTACAATTACATGTAATTATTTTAAACATGCCATATTCAAATAAATTGGCGTAATCATCGGATTAAAAGTATTTTTAACTGAAATAATTGTGACGCTTTCTTCAAGAGGTTTATTATTAAATATTTTTACACCTTTCTGTGACCAATTGATGTTAAAAGTTCAATTTAATACACCTTTCTGTTTTAATCGTTTTTATAAAAGAAGTTACGTTTAAAAACTTATGCTTTCCCATCTCCCGCATTCTCCAGACTTGGATTCCAGCACTCAACATCTGTTTCTAAACATTAAAAAAGTGGCTTCAGAAAAAAAATTATTCATCCCAAATTGGGATGTAGAATAGAATATAGCCAGTTGGGATGAATAATTTTTTTTCTGAAGCCACTTTTTTAATGTTTAGCCACGGTGGTCAAAACTTAAGTATAGGACGAACAAAAATGCCAACCAAAACTGATAGCATAATCTGATTATTGACCCTTTTGGTAACACTAACATGTATTTATCAAAATCCCAGCTGATCCTATTTTAAAGTTTTGCAAACTTTTTTGTTTTTCTATTTCTATATATTATTTTGCAATTATTGTACTAAAACTACCTGTAATAAAATTAAGCAAAATAATAAACTTTGTATCATTTAAATTACTTTACTCCCCAGTATTAATTTATTGAGTCACCTATTAATTTTTACCACTCAAAACAAAACATAAGAAAAAAAACGAAAATTTATATCTTAAATATTTTTTATAACAAAAAATACTGGAAGTTTGTCTATGAAATAATTACAACTTGCAAATTTTGTAAAACAATAATTAAGGTGGATATGAGTAAAATTGCTATACGTTATAACGTAAGTAACATTTTGCTTTGATTGTTAATTTAATGTATACTTTATAAAGTTAAAAATAGTATTTTAAAATGAAAATTAAACCGAAATTCAAGTTAAGCCATGAAGAAAATCGAAAGAAGGTATGTGCTGGCTGTGGAGACAAAATTGTTTTTGGTAATCGAAAAATTCAAAGATTAGGGTTTCTGAGAAAATATAAAAATTACTGCAGACTTTTTCAAACGAACACTTTAACTTAAGTGATTCAAAATTACCTACTTCAATATGGTAAAAACGGTATTTTTGCATAGCCACAATTGCCAAATTTTCAAAATTTAGAAATTGCTAGAGAATTTCGCGGCAGCCAAGAATGAATGTGCTTTATCTGCAAAATGGCAAGATATAAAGGACATAAAAAATTATTAAGGGAAGAGGACGGACGAACGAACTAAAGTTTTGATATGCTCTTCCTTTCTAGGGGATATCGCTAGATGTAAGAAGCATGTTTGTACAGAGACTGAAGAATTTAAAAATACTGTTTTCATGTTAAAAACAATTCCATGTAAAACCCAAGAAAAAGTTTTACTGAAAATTTAAGGCAAGCAGTAATCGATTTTGCTTCAAAGAATCTTTAGTTATTTATTAGTTTTGTATTAGGTACCTTAAAACAATAAATAAGATATTGCAAACTGTATTTTACATTATTTTCTATTTATAATGTAATTTATCCATATTTCAGTCATGTATCTGCCAAATTTTTAAAAACATTTGATAATGGTACTAGAGTATTTTATCGAAACAATTTTAAAATACTAAGAAATATGCAAAACTTTAATAAAGGATCAGCTGGGATTTTGATAAATACATTTTTGTGTTACCAAAAGAGTCTATAATCAGATTATACTATCAGTTTTGGTTGGCATTTTTGTTCGTCCTATACTTTAGTTTTGACCACCGTGTAGAGTAGAAAAAGGTTTTTCTGCCAAAATAACATTTAATGATTTTAGCAGGTTTCCATGACATTGATTAATAAACGTTGTTTTTTCTCAAACAGGCAGCCAGCAGGAAGCAATTAATCGAAAATAATTATTATATG